TTTGTTTCCCATTTTTAAGTAAAAATGAATTTTGAAATAATTAATTAACGAATAATGTATAGTTAAAAATTAAGAAAATGTTTTAGTTTTGCGTGTAATACTATATTATTGAAGAATGTGTGATTGTATAAAAGATAGAGAATAATGTATTTTAAGAAAAATGAGTATCAAACAAATTTTAATATTTTATAAATTTAACTCTTCTCTCGGGGACTCGGCGTAAAGCTTTTATAAAGTCTATTAATGTGTTTGCCCGCATAATTTTAATTGTTGCAATTGAAACGTAGAAAAATGCTTATCATTAATTAAAGAATGAAATACAATAAAATCAAGAAACAATATTAGAGTAAAATTTTACGTTGTAATTGTCAAAATTGAGACACGTAAAAAAAGTCAAATCTCAACGCTCCACTAATCAATTTCATTATCAACGTTTCTTGTTTACTCCCCTTCCTTCTTGCTCTTCATCATAATTCATGCATTATAGCATTAAAAATTACAGATCTCTACGTTTATTAACTAGAAAAAGTAGTAGTTAGAAGTTATTAATCTTCTCCATTCAAAAAAATTAGAAAGAAAAATTTATAAATAAGCTTTTGTTGTACAATCATCCAGAAATTAATGTGCACGCAATTTTATTCTCTGTATTAATACTTCATATATATATTTATGACCTGAAAGGATTGATGTTTAAATTTGTTTCTCCAGCGTTAACCACTTTAGTTTCTAACTTAACAATTTGATTATGATGAATATCTACATCTACAACTTCATCCGGTGTCTGATCATGGCACATGCTGACTCCAGAACTGAGGTACGTATATACTATAACCACATAGTTTTGCATAGTAATAATTTTATTAAAATTTAACTTCAAATTTAATGTCGAACCAGAATTTGGAACTGCAAATTAAGAAGAAAGGTCTAGAGCTACAAATCTTGGAAGCTCGTCTCAGGTAACAATTTAGTTAAGGTTCAGATTAATGGTCTTCCATTCGTTAAATTACAATCTTTCATTTTTATATATACTGTCATATGGTTCAGGGATTATGTACCTGGCCCGGAGCAAGAACATTCACTGCATGAACTGTTGTGGTGTGAGAATAACCTTCAGCACTCTCTGGAAAGAGTCATGGCTAGAAAAGTAATTATTCGTTCTAAATTAACTTTGTTCAGTGGTCATACAAAAAAAAAATTAATTATGTGTTCTTGTATAAGGTCATCATTCTATAATAATGCTACTCATTCATGCCAGAATGAACTGTTAGGATTATCTGCATCCGATCAGCAACCGTCAGTTCAGGTATGCACGTACAATGTGTATACATAAATATATGATAGAAATGTAATTATTAGTGTGAAATATGTGTGTGTCAAAATAATTTATGAAATATTATGTATCTCAGAATCTTGATCTGATGGGTCAAATGGAGATTGAGAATAATGGAGTGCCGTTAGCTGCTCAATTCAAAGAAAATGATCTTACTTTGGCAATGCAAAACCCTTCTTCCAGTCAGATTTTGACGGCACTTGATCCTTGGATAAGTCCGTACAGGTCGATATATTCTGGTTTTCTTTTGATATTATCTGAAATTACACAATCTTTTTGCTTCTCAGTTCAAATATAGAATTATAATGCAAAAGCATTTCTCTGGTGAAGTGTAGAGAATGTGCATGCAGCAGTTTTCCACCTCCTGATTCATATTGTACATTATTCTTTAGAGATATATGTATTATCAACTATTAATGCTAATGCAAAAGTCAAATACTGTACTCTTGTAAGGGTGATTGTAATAGTGACATAAAACAGAAGTTTAAGAAGTTAGAACAGCTGATTAAACACTGATTTTGGAGTGCGTGATCTTCTCTATAGTGCAAAAGCTCGAGAGAGCATGCTTCAAAACTTACTTGATGAAGGAAAACGCGAACCGGTTTATAATCCGGGGCCATCAAACAGATCCAATTTTCCAATGGCTGGTTCTTCAGCCTTCTTTGAATCATCGACTCCACAAGCTCAAATCCCACCTGCTGCCTACATTCCACAAAAGGTACTAATTTTCCATCATATATATCTTGAAGAATTTCGACAACTTATACAAGTATATTCGCTAAGAACTCTGCAAATTCACTGCAGCAATTTTCAATGGCCGATCAATCCCTACTCAACTTCCCTGATCGAAACATTGATTCTTGGAAGAATTTGTTTGCGGTATATGTATTACAGTAAAAATTTTATCGTATAATATTTTGATGACTATGCAATTTTTCCCTTAGGATCAACGAAATGAGACCTAACTAATATATCAAATGGATTCAAATCTTTGCAGGTGGCTTCCTCAGATGTAAACCACAGCTTCGTCCAGAACCCATCCAACTTCATGCCTCCAAGGTAAAAATCACAGATCATACATTTACCATGGATTTTACCCCCATCGATTCTTTGCCTTTCGTTCTCTCTCTTTTTCATCTACTTTCGGCTTACAAAATAAACACAACAAGAATTTACATTGGAAACTTTCAACTTGTTGCTAGATTCACATCAACAACAGTAATCAATGCTGGCAAGACTGTGGAGATGCCTCAGACTCAGTATTACCAGACAGAAACTGCATTCGTATACCCAGGTCCAAAATTAAGCAATTTCACCAGCTTGGAAGGACAAGAAATAGGGCTGATGCTGCCTAACCTGGATTCTAGTATTCACTTTAGCAAGGGCAGCTGCAGCAGTGGAAATGGCAGTAACATGATTGTCTATGAAAATGGAACTGGAATCTTCAATGAAGGCATTAATAAGGAAGATGAATCACAAGCGTCATATGCAGTCCCACCTCTCCAAGAAGTAGGCCAAGACGAACTGTTTGATAGCATTCCAACAGATCAGGTGAGTTAAAAAGGTTGTTAATTATGTACTAATCTATCATTAATTTCACTTGAAGATGGGACAAAGAGCAATAATAAGATTGTTTTCTTGCAAAATAAGGTTCAGTTACTAGTCACTAGTAAGTTCAAATGATGAAGACAATTCATTTTTCTTGTTCTTGTCTTCGACAGGGTATTCTGGAAGACAACAGCTTCTGGCCCTCGAAGATTCAGAAGACCGGCTCAGATGATTGGGACGAGTTTCTTCGCGAAGAGAACTTTAGCGTAATTGATTTTACTAATAATATCGAACAGGGATGCTAAATATAGAGAGCTCAATTTGCATGGCGCCCTCTCTGTTCTTATTGAACTTTGCTCTAATTCAAGACATAAATAGAAAATAATTTTCTTAAATATGGGTTCTATGTAATGACAATGCTGACTGAAGTTTTTATCTTAATCTTATTAAGACAAGGGTTTTATAATTTGCAATTCGTCTGCATGTGATGTTCATAATATCTCTTGTATTTGCACCATAGCTCACTAGCTTTATTGTATTTTTAAATTCAAAATTTTGGCATGTCCCAAAATCATTGTGACTATGTTGGAAGATGATTTAATGGAAGACGGTAAAGTACCTCTTCATAACTTTTCTTAGTTACCTGTTAAGCCGTAAGCCCTATCGAGGATCACATAAAGAAGACACGAGGATTTTCCCATGGTTCAATCAGAAAGCTCTACATCTATGTTGGGCTCTATGATTAGGAATTCGATATCGTGATGGTTTGTATCATAGGATTTGGTTTATCTTTTCCAATCGAGAAGATAATTAGTTAGCTATGTCCCGTAAATAAGAGTCTTCTCATTATATCCCAAAGAGTCTTGGACTATTTTGCAGCATACATGAGGGTTTTGAGAGAGAGATGTGATGTGATTTTAACATATGGCATGTGATTTTCCTCCAATTATACTTAGGCTTAGTCTCTATTTTTATTTTTCAGTTGTTCTTGATATTTTTCTCGGTGAAGCATCACAAGAGGTGAATCAAACAATTGGTCCAAGTTCACAAAAAATGATATCATAGCACAGGTTCTTTGGTGTGTTGAAGTTTGATGTGTTATCAAGCTTGGACCGCAGTGCATGAATACCAAGGATCGAACTGGAGGAGGAAAAATTCGATAGCAAGTTTAAGTTAAGGACATAATATAAGCTAAACAACATTTTAAAAAGAAGACTAATCTCTTTTTCAGAGGATGCATAGAAATGACATTATGAACGTTAGTGATTCGAACTGAAATGGTGATTTAGGTGGAATTATCAATAATGATGCCATTGATAATCACTGATACACCTTCATCAGCAATTATTAATTGCATAAAAAAAAAAAAAAAGGCGATCAACCTTATTTTAATTGCTTAGTGCCTAAAAGAACACATTGTCATTTTATTTATTTATTTTTTACATCTTTATGAAAAAATTTAAATTTTTTTCCAAGGGTTGAATAAACAGAATAATTAAAATGGTGCTATCAAAATAATTAAAATATTAAAATCATTGTTAATGGTCTTAAATAATATTAAAATAGAAAAATGTTTTATCAGGCTTATGCTCATAAAGTTTGAGAATAGACTTCACCCGTTTTCCTAAGACGTGACACCTTTAAAACCTTGATTTTCATTGAATTGGTGAACCACCTTGTGATCATATTGGAATCGACTGTTTCCAAATTCGTATTAACTAATAAGAATTTATGGATTTTTTTTAGAAAATCATATGAACTTGTCTTCCATCTTGTAGATAAGGCATATCTTGTCTAAGCTCTCTATTTGACTTTTTTTAGTATTTCACTCGCTCCGTAAACTATGCTCTTACCTGTTGGTGAAGCCACTTCATCCCTGAAACTAAGAGGCAATGGAGAAAGAGGCCTAACCACAGAAGGAAAGACTTTAGAATCGCTAGCTTGGTAAGAACAATCAGAATGTAAGAATGGAAGGATGGGACCGAAAAGGACTTCAAAAGTGTCTACAAGATATGGTGAAAACGTGTGGTTTTTCAGGCAATGGATTGTAGGGCGCAAGCACAATTGGCTGCAGATGGACTACTTTAATTTTCACCAGTACGTAATAATTAATTTACCGCGGGAACTGTATATTAAATATCAAATAAAATAAGTTTATGTTTCAAATTAACCGCTAACTATAGAGATTGTATAACGATGAAGGTACTGCAAACTATTCTTTTGGCATTAACTCTGGCTTATAAATGAAGTTCACTTGATGGCAGATGGTGGCTAGACTTCGATGAAATGGAAAATTGCTGATTTAATGCAACGGGCGTTTCTCTTAGACTCCCCATTTCAACCTGCAGCCATTCACAAAATATATACTTTATTGACATGTCGATTAACTCCCACCAGAGAATATTAAATGAAAATAAAGAAAGAAAATAGATTAAAATTCTGTAAATCGTCATTACATTTAAGACCATTGGTCTCAATCTACGAAAATAGAAAATGGTGGATACTCTTCAAACATGTGTATATATAACTAACCTTGAAACTAAAATTTATATTTCTTTTTTATTCTGGTCATGCACCTTGGTTACCAATAAGTTCTAATTTTAATTAACGAGAATACTGTTAAATCAAAAGAAATCACAAAAACCAGTAAAGCACACTAGAGTGATTCGCCATTAAATGTTATAGCTTATGTCCACTTTACTAAAACGAAAAATAATAAATAATTACTTAGAAATGGCACCATAAAAAACCCACCCTTAATGCAATAAAAATAATAGGTTGATTCGTATGGAGTAATGTATTTAGTGTAATAAAACTGGATGTAGAACAGCCATAATATAGTTTAATGACTAATAAAAAAAATGTTTAAAGCCTTATTTCTTAGAAAAGAGGACCTTGTCCAAATAACCTGAGGTTTCTGGAGGCAATAGAGCATTAAAGAAATCTTTGGAGAGATGCATTTGTTGAAAGCTGTCACCACTAATGGGGTTGCCATTTTGACGACCTTCTGCATTCTGCAAATTCTCATTTATACTTGTTTGGGACACAGATTCATACATAGTTGGCGATGACTGGTCCCTTATATTAGACAAAAACAAGAATTAGAAATCATACAATGAATTCATAAATAACTGAAAATTTCTATATTTAGAATTGTATAGACTTATAATTAAATAGTAAATATAGTAATTTTTCATATGGTAATGAGTTGAGACCTTAGAGCAGCAGAAGATGCATCAGAGCCAGTATTCATATGATTCCCATAGTTTAATTCAATGGCAGGATCATCAAGTGAGGTACTTACTCCCTGTGGGTTTGCTTCGCTGATGTATTGGACCACTGTATTTATTTGCTTTTGTAAACAGAAAATGAAAAATTATTTTCTTTAAATGGAAATGAAAATAAAAGGGACTAACATAATCCCATAGAAGCATATTAATTACTTGTATGGTGTCTTGATAACTTGATTGCTGCTCTACCTTGTTCACCAGGTTTCTCTGAAACCCAAAATTGTTTAGCATAGTTAGAAATCCGTATATCTGTTCGGAAATTGCTAAGAATTTTAAAAGAGAATTGGACTACTCCTAATATATAGATAATGCGTACCTTTCTTTGTGTGACACGGCGCAATGCTTCCAAAAGTCGTGCTTCACATGATTGAAATTCGCTTAACGATGTAAATCTTTCGGAGTCCGGTTCAAAAACTCTTCAAGAAAGAAGAAAATATCATCTATAGACTATATATGAGTATGACATTTTGTTAAATGTTTAATGACTAAGGGTGTATAATATCATTGTAATGAAATTAATTAGTGATGCTCCAACTGATCCTTTTTAAATAAATTCCTCTTAAGATGATGAGTTTATAAGATGAATCAATTTTTTCCAGCTCAAACTGAGTACCTAAGTAGTTCTTGAGCACTCTCAAGTTGATGTTGCAAGTCAGAAATTTCTTGTTGAATTTCCTGAAATAAGAAATTCAAATTGGTTATGATGAAAAAAAAAGGTGCAATTCCACCCAGATGGATAATAAGAAGTATTCTTTACCTCTGAATTAGAGCCAGGAGCAGCAGGACTGATTCAAATGTCAAATTATAATTAATAAAAGAACAAGAAAAGTTAAAAAAATAAATAAATAAATAAAAATAAAAGAATAAAAAAATTATAAAGGAAATAATTTAGTAAGAGAAACACCTTTGTATTTCAACGTCCTTTTCAGTTTTGATTTTCATTATGGTGTTGATTATATACTGCATGATCATTGAAAATCAGTTTGAGAGTAAACATAATCCAGGGAAAAATAAATAATAAACATTTTCTATTAATTGTAGCATAAACAATATTCAGCCAAAATAATTTACCTCTCTATTCTGGATAATCCTGCAATAGAAAATACACAATATTGAGAAACGTTTCTCTTTTTTACGTCACTTTAGCTTCAAAAATTTCTATATTGAGTAACATTATTGTAAATAATAGAAATTGAGAAAAAATAGTAACAGAAAAATGAGAAAGATTACCCTCCTCTATCATGCTCAGAGAGATTAATATATCGATAAATCACATCTTCGACTCTAACAAAAAGACAATCAAAAAATAAAATTAAATAATTGTTGCATTGCATAAATATAAACTCGTGCTAGGAAAAAAATTATTAATATAATCTAACCTTTTCCTACCGGAGAAATGGCTAAGGCGACCAGAGGGAGAGAACATAATTAAAGCTAAATCAATGTCACACAAAACTGCAATTTCATAAGCTTTCTTAATGAGGCCATATCTGCGTTTGGAGAACGTAACCTGTCTATTGGTGACGTTCTCTATTTTCTTAATCGGAAGCTTACTTCGCCCCATAATTATTTGTTTAAGAATCTATGTATGATCTATATATTACAAATAAAGAGAAAAACAAAATAAAATTAGATTTAGGATTTTGAATACAAGGAAATTTTTCCTTGGGAAAATGAAGATGTTTTGGGCAATGGGGTAGGATGAGTTTGGGTGGAGAAGGTTACAAGGTAGAGGAGATAACAGGTTGTGAACAAGGGCAGATTGTTAGGGAAATGAAAAGTAGGCATAAAGAAGAGGTCTCGATTGGACAAGGTTGGTTGTAGTAATTTGTTGTTACTCATCACCACCAAATGTGGAAATATTGGTTTTTAGAGACCGTAAATTGCTCCCTCCATTCTTACCATGCAATTCCAAGAAGAAGAAATAAAAAATAATAATAATAAACAGACGAAAAAGAAAAAGACTTAGACAGATTAGCCCATATTTAGGGCCTGTTTGGACCCGATTTTTTCACCCAAAAAATTGATTTTTTAACCGTTATTTTACTATTTCAGCCATCATATTTGATTTCTTCTCTCACAGTTGGACCTCACTTTTCTCATAACGGTTAAAAAATCAATTCTCAAAATCACTCCCAAACAAACTCTTAATTTATGAAATCTAAAATATGGAGAAGAGGACTAATATGATTAAATTAAAATTTTAGTTTGTGTATATAGTTCAGAATTAAAAATAAAAATCTCTTAATTTATCTTCTCTTCATTTCTTCCCGTCTCACCAATATTTTTAAAAATTGTGTACTCATGTATACGAACTTCATTATTTTCGACTAGACGTTGTTACATTTTTTGAAAGAGTAATGCTATTCGTAGTCGCTCACTGCGGTAGTCGCCCTACGTGGCATACACATGACAGGTGATTATTTGATGCATTAATATGGTAGTTTTTTTATTCATTAATGCATCAAATAATCACTTATTACATGTATGTCACGTAGGGTGACTGCCGCAGTGAACGACTGCAAATAACATTATTCTTTTTGAAATCACCTAAGTCATGCATATGGGAATTTGTGAATGCAAGTGTCAATCAATTACGAATAGAATAATTGTCGACAATATAATAAATTCCCACACTCTATTATCTAGTTCTAGACCAACCAATATATCTTGGGACCCAAAATCTCTTTGCCCCTCAAATCTATCACCCCTCTTCAACAGAAAATAACCATTATCCCAGAAATCTCATCCGGGCAGACAATCTACGGATAGCCCAAAAATTGAAACAAATTCCAAATCCAAATTCAAAAATACAGTTACGAAATTTTTCCTAACAAGATCAAAAAATGGCAGCAACCTCTCCATTAACTGTAATTACACCAGTATCCCGTTCCCTGCAAACCTTGAAAACCAGTGTTTCATCTTCACTACATTGTACTACAAATCCAATTCCCAATGTTAAAAAGCATATATTCCAAGTGGGCGTTGGACTTTTGGCCGCTTCTGTGGTAGCAGCCGCCCCTCTGGAAGCTGAAGCCACCAGAATAGAGTACTACGCCACCTTTGCTGAGCCTTCTTGTGAGCTCAACTTCGTTCGTTCGGGACTTGGATACTGTGATTTGGCTGTAGGTTCCGGAGAGGTGGTTCCTTTCGGTCAGCTTATCAATGTGAGTTCATAAAATTTGCTCATAATTTTAACACAAAAGGTGATTGTTTAATTGATTAATCTAACGGTTTGCTTAATTTTAACATGTATGCAACATTCATTTGCACCAGAAGAAAGTTAATGTATCTACAATACTTGAAATTGCACTTGCTCCCCTTACACCTCTGTAATTTGATAATGTGTCACCTTGACTAATCTTTAAGATTGTTGAATAGTTGTTTTTTATTATAACTTTGAAACTCTAAATGAATAAAGATTATTGGAAATTGATTATTGAGTACTAGAATCTTGAATATCTAAAGCACGCTACAATGAAGCTTTTCGTAAAGCAGAGTTGTTCCTAACTAATTATGATCTGTGAAATTTGTGTCATGAGTTGACTATGATTTGCGCTAACTAAGTTAATTCTAACAATGAAAAATGAATAGTCCTCATTGCAAAAAAGAAGAAGTTATTTTGTAACAACTAATTTTCTATGTAAAATCTTAGTAAGAGGGAAGAAAGAAATGACCATAGACTGGGATCGTGTGTCCTTATACAAGAAAATTCTACCTATTTAGTACTTTTGGTCTCTCTTCATGAAAGACAAACATATATATTTCTTTCAAATCTCAGTAGTTAGAACTTAGTTTTGCAAGCCTTTGTTATTGTTAGTCAACTAAGTAGGGCATGAAGCTCCTGCTAATTCATAAATCTAAGGAGCATAGTGCAAACAAAAGGATGGTCCCTATGCATTTCATCCTTTGTGAAAGGGAGGGGGAAAAAAAAAATTAGTACCCCCTTCATAGTCTATAGATGTAATGATCTCATTTAACTATCAACTCAAATGTAATTAAATAAGTGACCGCTTGTGAAAATTTTATGTTCAGTCGTTCTTTCTTACTACCATTACATGGTCAATCAAATTGCATCTATACCTTGGTTCACGACTATAGTTGATAAACAAAACAATCTAGATAAATGAGTAGTTTGAAGTTGTTGTGCACCATAACTTCACCATTGGCACTTTACATCCCATGGAAGTGTGTCTGCATGGCATGTGAATGGGTACCAATGGTGTGGTGCACCATCCTCGTACTAGCATTATAGTGAAATCATAAACAAATATTCTGTATCTTCATTTTTTAATGCTGGACTCAGTAAATTGTCTTATATATTCTCGCATTTATACTCATTAATTTACCTAAAGAGGCTCTTGTTCGAAAGAGAGACTTCCTTAGAATAGGTAAGAAGATGGTAGGATATGATCTCTTGTGGTTGATAAGGATCTAGCTACATTAGATCTGCTAGTAAATATAGTGTACAGAGTGGAAAAAGAATTATTCATATACTCAACCTAAATTATTATGAATTAGGCTTTATTTGCCGTTGTTTGTTAAGGATCTAGCTACATTTGATCTGCTAGTGAATATAGCGTACAGAGTGGGAAAAAAATTATTCATATACTCAACCTAAATTATTAGGAATTAGGCTACATTAGATCTGCTAGTAAATATATTGTACAGAGTGCGAAAAAAATTATTCATATACTCAACCTAAATTATTCTTATCGTTGTTAAGGATCTAGCTACATTAGATCTGCTAGTAAATATAGTGTACAGAGTGGGAAAAAAATTATTCATATACTCTACCTAAATTATTGGGAATTAGGCTTTATTTGCCGTTGTTTGTTAGATTCTTTCTAAACCTCATCTGTCTCGGAAATTCAAATATAAAGAGCATTGACCTGTATGTAATGCTGTCTTGATGTGTATCCAAGATAGCAAATTTCCTGGCAGAATGCCTAGGGTTTAATTTTCCAATGCGAGAACCTGCTGATGGACCCCTCAAGACTAGCCCCTATTTCACATTACGTTATCCATCTCAAAATTAATATATTTGAAGTAGAAAGCCATTCAAAGCTTGTATTCTAAGTTGGGAGTTTATATTCAGTCTATGGATGTGTTCCATATAAACTGGTAGGGACTCATTTAGATACCACATAAGTAAAAGGATAAAATTAAAATAAATAATGGAAGTTCTAGTTGTGACCAAAGGATTGAGAATTGAATCATTATTTATAAATTTCTGCTTGTTTGAGTTGACTTTGCTGCCCAATAACAGGATCCCACTATGCTGCATTTTTAATGTGGCGTCAGATCTTTGGGGTTGGAAAAATCATATATCAAATTCAAATTAGGATTGGCTTTCTATAACTTCAATTCTTGTTGTAGGTGAGGAAAGAAATGGTCTGCTTGCAATAGTGAACTTGTTCCATTAACATATTCTTGATTCCAGATTGTAATGTTATAACTATACTGGCTAAGGTTATAAAAAGATAAATGGGAACGACGAGACAATATATAAGTAGAGAAATTAATGGCAGAGAAAAGTTCATGTTATGAGAACTGGTCAGGATATAGGGTGCTAGGAAAGAAAAATAGAAGAAATAAATTGGTGTAATTTTAAGAACTTTCATTTTCGGTTCTGTCCCTTGCTTAATGAAAGAGATGACTAAATCGACAGTCGTAGATTGATAGGAAGACAGGCAAAGTCGATTAATTTATCTAGTTATATAGAAATTTTATGGATTTTAAAGATTTTCCCTTTCCCGAAAACCAAAAACACGCCTTTACTCTATTTGGTATTTTGCTGCAGGTCCACTATACTGCGAGGTTTGCCGATGGAATAGTATTTGATAGCAGTTATAAACGTGCTAGACCCCTTACCATGCGCCTTGGTCTGGGCAAGGTAGTTTCTTTTTTCTCACACTTATTCTATTTCTTGAACGATTTCAATGCTTGTTTGGGCAGAATAATCACAAGCAGCATAGTATAGCTAAAATAATCACAAGCAGTAAGGGTTGGCTACAGAGATGTAAAGGATGACTACTTTTACATGAAAAAATTGTTTACATTTTTAACTGTTTATGCTATATGCATCCCATTCTAATCTAGAAACTAATGTCCAACGAAATTATCATGATCAGATTTTTTGTCACTTTGATTATGTGAGAAATTATCCTTTATATGATTTTGTCTTAATGTTGGAAACAACTCTGTTATTATTGATTTCTTTGAATTAGTTATCTGATGAAGAAGCGCCCTGATACGTTTATATGTGTGATATAGTTAAGGTGATGGAAATAGTGGTAAATGATCATCGTATTATAAATGTTGGTGGTTGAAAAATTGAGTAAAAAATATGTTATGGAAGTCAAACAATAGGTATTCATGGAATGAAGACAGCTAAATATTACTTCAATGTGGATGCATCAGGAGAAGATAAAGAAATAAGGAGTGTTACGAAGTCAAAAGAAGATGTGTACACGGAATGTGAACAGCTAAAAGGTTACGTCAAGGTGGATGAATTTGAAAAGGACAAAAGTGAATTTATAATGCAAATCATGAGATTTTTCTTTGTAGTTTTGTTCAATAGATTGACCAATTATGATATAACCCTCTGCAGCAAATTTTATATATCTTTTTAGCGAAGGTACAATTTCATTGGACACTTCAGTAGATGTAGCTCTAGACCCAGACTGGAGATTTGCCCCAACTTTATTGCAATTAGGGGTTGTTTAGTGAATACATAGTGTAAAAAGTGATCTCCGAGTTCGCATGAATGGAGTTTCAATGATATATAATCAGACTGTTATATACACCCCTCAAACCTGATGCTAAACTGGAAAGAAGGTTCAATATTTTTCTGGAGGCAAATAAATCACAGACACGTTTTAGTTCATTCAGGGGGTAGTTCAAGATGAAACTGCTGTATTTGAAATCATTTTTTCAAAAAATAAAAAAATTTGTACTTTTTTATACTTGAAAATGTGTGAAGAACCTCTTGCTTGACTCAATTAAAGAGTTGAGTTGGAACTTAAATTTGTTCAAACCAATATAGCATAAGTACATAAAAAAAATGGTGTCTTTTATGAGTCCTAATGCAATGCCTGTGCCAATAAGAGAAGCAATAAACCCTTTTGTCTGAAAATGTATCTTAGCTGATTATGTCTGTTTTCAGTCTATGCTTGCTTCTAATTTTTCAGTTGCATTATCGTATCATGAGAATTTGTTTTGTACAGGTCATTAAAGGATTAGATCAGGGAATCTTGGGAGGTGGAGGTGTACCCCCAATGCAAGTTGGTAAGACGGAGATGATATATAAAAAAACTCTTTTTTTCTATTTCTTCATGATGGTGTTTTTTATGCAGTTCTATAGGACTATGAGAATCATCTCGACATATTGTAACAGGTGGTAAACGCAAGATTCATATCCCTCCACATTTAGCATATGGACCAGAACCAGCCGGCTGCTTTTCAGGTGATTTTTACTTGTTCTAATTATTTGAGAATTAAATAGCTGAGGTTCCGCATACCATAAGCTTGAATACTCTTGGAAGATTTGTGAAGCACTGAGTCGTTTTTGTTGCAACTATCTACTACGAACCAAAATTTCACCTTGTTGCACAGGGGATTGTAACATACCTGCAAATGCAACGCTTGTCTATGACGTTAAATTTGTTGATAGCTACAAGGGAAATAGGAAATAAAGAGGTGTGAATCTAAGCATCAAAACCAAGTGAGTTTCTAAGTAAACTTCTATGGATATCAAGTTTTTCTTTTTGTTGCACATTGTCTAACTGGAACAGTTAATTACGTGACCTTTGACAGGAGATGGCTGGTGCTATACATGTCAAAGTTTTCCGAAATTTATGTACTCCCAATAGTTAAAAACCAAATCCAAAAATGACGTTTGATTTTATCAATGTTCAACTATAGAAATCCTATTGTAATTGCTAGCTGTGAAATGATAATAGAAAAAATGAGTTTCTGCATTTTGGGCAGTGCCACCAATTTTCTATTTGATATAGACATACAGTTCTCTGTCATTGGTCTAAGCAGAAAAACAGAGATAACTTTTTCATACTATTCATTATCTTTTACAACGACCTAAGGATTCTCACACGACGATTCAAACCTCAACCTCTGTATTCTATATTGAATGGATGGTTTTACCTTAGATTTAACAGAAATGGGAAAGTTACTTCCCAGACTATGACATTTGTCCTAACCTTTAATTCTTTGCATTTAAATTTTCAATCCATCTGTCTATCAGGGACCAAAGTACTACAAATTTGAAAGGTTAAAGATTAAATTTTCTAGAATTAAAATATTAGGAACAACTTACATCGGCTACAAGTTTGCGACCTCTACTACAATTGTCCTGAAAGAGAAAATGTCACTGTTTTACTTTTTCATGGAGAAAACCAGTTTTTGCAATTTGCTATACCCTGGTGCTTGAAATCACTTTGCTGGGTTCTAAGAATATAGCCACCTTTTCCAGTTTGTACCCATTAGGCAGATACAAAGGCATTACATGCTAAAGTCCATACAATAAAGCCATAATTGCCTCTCATGGGGTGGACGAGTTGTTGGAATAGATGAGCGTGGAAACCTTTGATCACGAGTTCGATTCCTCGTACCAACACTTTCTTGGTCGAGCCTGTCGCACCGAGCTTACCTAGTGCGGTTTATCTAGCTGGCGTGATTTGCAGGCTATTGCGTCAGTCCGAGAGTTTACCCAATGCATACCCGAAGGGTGGCGGTTGTGGGTTCCCCCTTATTCAAAAAAAATAAATAAATAAAAAATAAAGTCATAATTTAATGGACCTTATAAAGAGGTACTCTTTTTACTAGAATTGCTCAACTCTGCACTCATATAGCATTCCCTAAACAATTCATTGTTTATTTGATTTTGGAAGTATATGGTTGCAACATGTCATATACTTATTGAAGATAGTAGGTCAAAAAATCTCATGGACCACTCAATTTATTACCTGATGCAGAAATAGTTTGGTATGAAGGTAGGAAGAATTGGTGCAGATTCATTTTGTTGATTGAGGCCATTTATTAGTTATAGAGATGTAGGGTATGCTTCATGCTTGGCACGCATAGTATACAAGATTAAAGAAGATTAAGAAAGATGGGTATTCGATAAAATTTGACACTTGTACTGTTCAATTATATCGGTACTGTGATTAAGAAATAGGATGCAAAGCATTAAATTTCCTTACTTTCATTCTTTTCTACATTCATGGCTGTGAATTTGTAATGGTTAAGGTGGTGGGTCTTGAGACCAACAACCCTATTATTTGATGTGTGGAAACAAAGGCGTACAGTTGTTTGTCACAGCCCTATTAATGGATGATGGAATTGTTTCCTTGTGATGTGAGTAATCTTGAATTTGTTAATCAAACAGCCTGTCTGGTATTTGAAATTGAAACCAATTAATATGTCGATCATTTTGAAGTTAGTTTTGCATGTGATGTGTATTCGTTAAGTTAATTGGTTTGCGAGTAGATATAGTATTTAACTCTGAAATTGCAATAATTGGAGTCGAAAGAAACTCGAGTGGAGAAGAAATAAATTATTGGTCTAACAAGGATGTCACAAAAAACTTGGTCACTAGACTTGACAAAGAGTATAAAATACAATAAATATCTACCAAAACTTAAAGAAGAAGAGGGTGGTGCCTAACAATTACAAGTGGGGTTCACAACAGCTTCTTCTTTACCCTTTCAAACCTCTGTTTTGTTTTTTGCAAATATTCTCCCAACAACAAAAGGAAATGCTTTAGTTTGCAATTGCATCTTCCTTTTTTTGCCTTGCCTTTATGGAGCCTTAGAGATTCAATCAACTTTTGGACAATATGATTTTGAATGTAAAAAATTTGTTGCATAAGTTATTTTATTTATGCAACAGATTATTTGAAATGTTCTAAGCTTAAGGAAAGCCGAAAATAAATGAATTATGTTTTCACTACATGGGTGAGACAACCTTGTCACTAACAAAATACACATGTGATGTTAGTTAGACGCGTTGGATTTTTCATTAAAGTCTCAGATGGAGAGGACGGGATGATTTAAGTGAAACAAATAAAAATAAAAATGAGCGAGTGATTCAGAAAAGAAAAAATGGACCAAAATGAGACTGAGCCTATAAGAGCATCTCAAAGAAATTCTTTAAACATGAGATACTTTCTATTTTAAAGAGTCAACGAAACTATTTAAATTATATTTATAATTAAATGCATTCAAAGTATTTTAATTTTTAATGTAAGAAAGTAATATAATAATATAAAGAAAAGTTAGTTAAAATAAAAGATCGAGAAAAATAATAAATACTTTTTCGAAATAGTAAAATTAAGTGTTAAATATAAAGGGCATATTGAAGTATTTCAAAATTTTTACTCTCTAAATTTATAGATGCTCTCTAAATTATAAAATACATTCTTAAAAAATAGAGAGACTCTTGAAGATATTTTAAATTAGTTACTCGCGCTTTTACTTTTGAAACTTACATCTAAAGGAAAAGTTGCATGATAGGTAAGAATAAAAGAAGTTAAAAAGACACGCATGCGCTAAAGTAACTAAGTAAGGGTACCTTAACTTTGAGATCTCACTTTCCTAATTTTTTGTTAATTTCCCTTAAGGATATGCAATTTACTATTGATTTATTAATAAAGTGTAAATGATAAGATTCATTCTAGTCTTGCACTCTCCTTCTAAGAGCTAGACCTTTCCTCTACTTAATTATTTTCCGCTTCTCTATTAATCATTAAAGACATATTTCACAAGGTAAATTATATAGTACTACACAATATTAATTAAGAAAACAAGTTAAAATATAATTTATTATACCCTCTAGTATAAATTTATACTAAGTGTGAAGCTTAATCACCGAACGAAGTCCTCTAGCACAATCACGACCGAGGCAGGATGAGCTAGCGGCTCAAGTTCTTATGGTGTAAAACATGCAGGCAAAAAAAAAATATATATATATGGAGGAGAAGAAGGAGAAGAATTTCTCAATAGCTGAATATTTATTTATTTTTTAAATAATTACAAAAAAACATGCATTCTCAATTCTATTGCAGTCATTAGTTCCACCAAAACCAATTGCAACCAAGATTTAACTGTTGGGTTTGTGACCAAATTATGGTGGAATTTTTTTTTTTTTTTTTTTGGAAATAAATTGTTTCCTCATTTTCATGTGGGAAAATTTGTTTCCTTATATTTCACGTGATTTTTATGGAAATATATTATTTTCTTATTCCACATTATTTTCATTTTTATATTATGTCATGTACCTATAAATAGTGGTATTCTCTTTTAGTTTTGTTCAAACAAGACTCGTTGAGTTCTTGTATTTCTCTCCATATTATCGATTAATAAAACGTCGTGCTTCTACGATTAACTCTCTTTGTTAATTTCTTTATTTTTAAATCTTGTTTCTCGTGCGATCTTCAAAACTTCATATCGCGTCATTAATCTCATTTACTACAATCATTTCGAGTCCAACAAATGGTATCAGAGTTTGGTTCTTATTGTAGATTGGTTGAGGTTTTTCAGAGATGGCTGCTTTGAAATATGATATTCCGTAATTAGATCTCAATACAATGTTTTCTTTGTGGCAAGTAAAGATGAGAGCTATTTTGGCGTAGTTAGATTTGGATGATGTGTTGTTGGGTTTTGAAAAGATACCAGCTAATTGGACAATGGAGGAGAAACAACAAAGGGATCCGAAGGCTTTGTCATTTATTCATCTTCATCTATCCAACAATATTCTACAAGATGTCTTGAAGAAGCAGAAGTTGTATTCCTATCGCATGGCGGAAGGAGGGTTATTGGAAGATCATATTGCCGTGTTCAAGAAAATTGTCGCAGATTTGGAAATGTTGGAGGTTAAGTACGATAAAGAGGATCTTGCTTTGATCTTGTTATGTACGCTGCCTGGCTCTTATGCGTCATTTCGGGACATCATTTTGTATAGCCAGGATACTTTGGCTATAGACGGCGTCTATGATGCTTTGCACTCAAAGGAGAAGTTGAAGCATTTGGTTGGAGCTACATCAAGGGATGAGGAAGCTTTTGTATCTCATAGTGGTCGACGGAGGGGCAAATCGAAGAATAACAACAATTTGTTTTGCTTCTACTGCAGACGTAAGGGACAATTCGGAAGGATTGTGATAAGTTGAGGCGAAAGGTAATTTACCTGTAAATCGTGGAGCGCAACCATTGATTTCAGCCGAAACAATTACAGTTGAGGATTTTTCAAACGGTGGAGATGTGATGTTGACCATGGTATCTGACATGAAATCTAGGCTTAACGAGAAGTGGATTCTCGATTCAGCATATTCGCATCATATGTGTTCCAACCAAAATTTCTTTTAGACTTATGAGGCTGTCAAGTAAGGTGGAGTTGTGATGGGAAACAACCAGTCTTGTCGTGTTGGTGGAATCGATCAAGTCAAATTAAGGTTGCAACATAGGACAGTCAAAACAATTGATCAAGTTCGACATGTTCCAGACCTGAAAAGGAATCTCATCTCACTTAATACTTTGGATGTGAAAAGGTATAAATTCTCTAGTGGATGTGGAGTTTTGAAGGTCCGAATGGGTGTCCGGGTTGTATTGGAGGGCTAAAAGAAGTTTAAGTTGTACATCTTACAGGAAAGCGCAGAACCAGTTAAGAGATATCGGGATAAGTTCAATACCGTGGTGGATATTCAGTTTGATACAGTACCTCTTGTGATGGACTCTGAGTCGATTCAGAACATTGCTCGGAGGAGCATTGGTGATTTCGCTTTGACACCAATTTCAGTGGATACATTGTGTTCATTTGTTACGGTTGGACTCGTGGAGCGTAGGTACAGTGGTATCAATAATATCTTGAATGTTTTTGGGGACATTGAAGACGACAGTTCTAGCAATGGGCCTTCTGATCCGGCATGTGGTATGGTTTCTACTACAGGGTGTGTTTCAACCCTGTTTGGTCAACAATAATTCCTCTATGGAATTTTGGGAACCCAGGATTTGGATTTAGGTGTCACTTGTGGATGCCTTGTAGAGGACGACGATTTGGTTTGGAAAGTTTTGGTTACTGTGTTGGGGAGATTGGCTATATCGATGTAGATGGATCTTGGAGTTTTGTTCGTTGCACTAGAACTTGGGTCAAGATGAAAATTGTTGAGTTTGTGACCCAAATTAGGGTGGATTTTTTTTTTTGAAATAAATTGTTTTCTTATTTTCATGTGGGAAAATTTGTTTCCTTTTATTTCACGTGATTTTTATGAAAATATATTATTTCTTTATTCAACATTATTTCCATCTTTATGCTATGACATGTACCTATAAATAGTAATTTTCTATTTTAGCTTTGTTTAAACAAGAATTGTTGAGTTTTTGTATTTCTTTCTATATTATCGATTAATAAAACGTTATGCTTCTGCGATTAACTCTCCTTGTTAATTTCTTTATTTTTAAATCTTGTTTTTCGTTACAATCTTCATTACTTCATATTGTGCTATTAATCTCGTTCACTAAAATTCTTTCGAGTCCAACATTAACAATAATCTCACATGGGAATTATAGACTACACTCTAAGGGGGGAAAGTTGGCATTCTTTTGTAATTTTTTATTATCCATGGGTCCTGCATGGGACCAACCACATGGGTATGTTCTGTAGGAGTTCCGTACATATGGTTTTCTGTACATTATTACATGATGGAGCAGGCATTTGGATTATCATCACTGAACATTGTGATGTAGGGATCCTCAAATCTGGTGAGTGTTCCATTTCCAGTTGTTGGGTTGTCTACTTTTCTGACAAAACCTGGGGGTGCCTTCTTGTCATACGCTTGAATTGCATAGGGTTGTGCCACAAGATTGTAGGGTACATATGGCCATATCTCTGCCTTTTTCCCTGTTGACTTTGCCTTCTTCAACACTTTGCTCTGTTCTACATATCCTGTTACTGTCACCTTCTGTTGTTTCCTGTCTATCTCCACAGACTTAACCCCTGAAAAACACATTAATACAAGGATTAATACAATTTCTCACTTCAAAATCATTTATATACATAAAATTATGCACACACTGTCATGCATATTTGCTCTCTCTCTCTCTCTCTCTCTGAGTTGTTAGAAAATGTTGAGCACCCTCGCTTAAGGCCTAAATTGAAATAGAAGAAAGTCGGGTTCATTTTGTCATCAAAGACCTAAAACGTGGAAGAGACAGCAAGAAAATGAAAAAAATAATAATAATAAATAAAAATAAAAAATCTCACCACTTAATGAAGACATGGCTTTTTTGACTTTAAGTTCACAGCCATCACAGTCCATTCTGACCTTGAGATTTACAGTTTGTAACTGCTTCCTCCTCTTGTGTTTATATCCACTGCTCATCAAATCAGACAGGTACTCTAAGGTCCCTGAAACTCCCATTTTGTAAATAAAGCTAGACTCTATATTCTTATGCAAATTAATGATTTCAAGAAAATAACAAGTAAAATCTTGAAGAAACAAAAAAAAGGCTTATAATTTAAACAGTGCTGAGAATCTACAAGAGTTAAACTTCCCTCCAAGAAATGGATTCTTTTCTTGCCTACCAACAAATAAAGAGAAGAAAGAAAAGTGTTCTAAAGCTTTTCTCTTGAACTTTCTTTTGAAATCTTTCTTTACGCTTGCTACTTCTTATATAGAGGTACATGTCCAATTATCAGTAGAAAAAGAGTTGGTGGGCTGGTGACCCCTTCAAATAAAAACTATGATAAAACTAAAATTAAGGATTTTAATCAAATGCACTCTTTAAGAGTATTGTTAGTACATAATGCTGAAGAAAAGGACAGAAATTAGCTAGAAGAATAATTTTTTAAAGTGTGACAGTAAAAATTTAGTACCTACAGGGACCTAGATGAAAGGATAAATAATGGAATGAAGAAAACAACCAATAATAGAGGGAGTAGCTGCCACGTTTCGAGGGCGTCTGGTGTGACATGTTTTGAAAGAGAGGTTTGACCATAGATTGAAATGAAATCAACGGTTCATAGGAGGATATATACTGAAAAAGGGGATATGTAATAATACAATAACATTTGTTAGAGCAAACACTTTTGAAATTGGAATATATGAAGCTTCCAGCCTCCTTCACCCAATCTGATAAGAAAGTTGCTACAGCAACAGGGGCGGGGACACAGGTAAAACCTTTAATCCTATATTTCCATTTTAGTTTAGGGTTGGGG